CATATAGCATTTTGCACGAAACGAAGGAACTCCAACCCTTTGGAAATAAAACGTATAATACGGTAGGCGAAATCCCAGGCGGGTGCTACAACATTTTCACAGGAAAAAATAGTGCAGATGGCGGGATGATTGCCCCGGAATATCCGTGATTCCGGTCGCCCGGCCCGGTAACGGTATTTACGACCGGACCCGGATGAAAAAGTAATAGTATCCCGGTATTATTGTACCGATAGTAACGTTTGCTCTATTTTTTTTATTAGAATAAACTTACAACTATTAATATAGACCGGTCAGTTCCAAATTTTAAAACAAGCCAAACATTGGTCTTGTCAAACAGTTTTTTTAATCGTATTTATAAGTAAAAAGGTACATTTCGTATTGTTTTTTTTTTTAAACGAATATCGTCTAATTTTTAATCAAACATTGCAGATATAGAGAAAGGGTAGCGCACCCATTATCCTTGGGTTTTGTCGCCAACTAAAAATAATAACAAGATTTCATCTCATTTATTATTAAAAACTTCGTCAGTCGCAACCCTTCGTGACGACCTGCCTGTCCCACAGCAGTCATGAAAATAAAATCATGGTCCCCGACCCGCGTAGATTGAATTCAAAATTGGAATCAGAACACAATCCTTTTTTTTCTTTTTTTATTGCGACAAATGGCGATCGCGTGAGGTGACGGCCCGGTCGCCAGTGTTGAATTTTATATAAACACTGAATAAGTTTGAGGGTTCTGTAGGAGCACGTAAATCTTATATTTCAACATGATTTCATAATAAAATAGTTACACAATATGTGTAGTATTTTAATAAAAATTTCAGTTGACAATATCTTGTCGAAAAAAGTTGAAAAGTCTAGTTTTCAGGAATCCAATAACGAGAGAAACAGCAATTTCTATAAGAGTTAATATCTCAGATTGACATTTTCTGAGCTTAATTGTAAAGTACCACTAAATGTGGCGAAAATATTATGCCACAATAAATATTGTGGTTTCCGTAATAATTTCTATGTTTAAATATTTTTTTTCACTCAAGGTTTTATGGATCGATAATAAAATGTCCTTATTTATTTTGTTAGTTCTTGTGAAAATTTTAAATTCATTGAATTATGACAGTCAAAGTGACCGCCGTAGACAATGGATGGTGAATTTTAAAATAAAAGCAACGACCATTTTTAATGTGTCCGAAATTGCGGTAGTATCGGAATTACGTTATGGTTGTAATATAACAATAATGCACTACCGTAAAGTGGTGGCATTGAATAAAGTTATAAAACAATTTCTCCGACCGAAAGGCGGTCCTGTCGGCCATAGACAACTCAGTCACGGTCCATACTAAATGTTCTAAATGACAAAATATTTTCTGTTCCTATTGTTTAGTGTCCTTGAAATGGCGGCGATCGAAAAGGCAGCCTTTTTGTTTACAATTTTCTTGTCACCTTTTTTGCATCGCACACTACATTTCGGTTAAGAAAGTTGTAACTTTTTCTAAAAAATTGTGGTCAGGTTAATACGATGTAAAATGTGCAATAAATTATGTGTTAAAAACATACCGAGGTAGATTACATCTTCCTGAAAGACTAAAGCAGAATTGGTTGGCAATATTGACGCGAGGCAATGTTTTAGCAGAACTAAATTTGGTCGATAAAACTTGTCGAATATTACTGTTTAAGATACGGATGACTTTGGATCTAAAAATGCGTTATCCACTTTATGCGAGCGGAACATTAGATGTGGCTTTCATAAATCGCAGATTCATATAATAATTTCTTAAGTTAGTAAACATAGAACCGAAGCTCTGTCACAGAATTTATTCTACAAGTCAGTTCTGTATGAGTTTTAATGAAAGTTAACGCCACTTAACCCTAGAATTTAACTTTATTCAGCCCCCGTTAAATATAAGAATAATTTCAATTCTAAAATCATTGTAACAACTGACGACGGCTACTGTCGTCAAAACAGCGTACAGTTAAACCACTTAGAACTGGATAAATCTGCCCCTAATCCAGTTAAAACCTGCTAAATCCGGATTAATAGTCTGTCAAATTGCCGCGAGGGGGCGCCGCGCGTGGCACCTGCGACTCGGGAAGTTTCGGCACCCTGTATTTTAGCCCTATTGTAATTCAAAATGGAGATCTGTAGGAGAATGTAAAATTTTGCAGAATATATCTACCATTTGCTTTGTGTTGAGACAGTTTCGTATCAAAAACTAATTATCAGCAGAACTTGGTTTGCTTAGGTTATTTGGAGTTTGGAGGTTATGTTTTTAAATTAATCTAAAACCATCTTTGATATTATTCTGCAACATTCTAAAAGGATAATATACCTTTGCTTACTATTTTTAAACGACTTTGAAAAGGTTAAGTTATCGAATCGAATGTATGTTTTTTGTTATCTTTTTATTATAACTGGTTGAAAACAAACTTTTTTTTTGGCCGGAGAAAAGCTGACTAAGGAACCAATTCAATGGAACAATTTAAGACTACGGAACCTTTCGACAATTTTCCATGTGTTTTATCAATCATGGCGAAAATAAAGGATGACTGGATTATCTCGTTTATTAGATAAATCTATTTTTGTTTACTTGTCATTCCGAGGGTTAAGATAATAAGTTGTTATTAATAACATAAGTGTGTGTTGCTGGCAGATTAAAAAAATAATTCAGAATACAACTCTACTACATAAAAACAATTGAATTCCGTTTTGTGTTGATATTTTAAAATTTAACTGTTAATTTTAATATTAATTTAATTAAAATTCGACATAGGACTGTCGTTGACATAATAAAATTCGTAATACAAAGAAAATCGTAATTGCCAAGCGTCAATTTTAAAAAAAGAAAGTTTAAACTATTAAGCAATATCATAAACAGTCATCCATTTAATTGAGTGCTCGCGTTGGCTCGCATCCTTTTTTAGAAACAAACAAGGATATCACATTATGCGTCCCCCATTCTATTTATGTTTGAAAAAAACATCTCGGCCCTAATTGCCGGTTTATTGGCCGATACTTTTAACTGTGACATATTAGGAGCGTTTACGGAGTGAGCTTTAGTGCTTTAAGTGGTGTATTTAAAAATGTTTGATGTGACATTATGGTCATGTAGTAGCATGTGTGCGGTTTCCTCTGTAGCTACGGGACGATGTTACCATTGTCAGATTTTATTATAAAAATTGATATCTAGTTTTATACAAGCCAGTAGTAGGTATGTAAGAAATCGAAGTAATTTGTTTTCTAAAATGATATAGCTATTGTTGCCCTCCTCGTATAATTTAATTCTTTGTGTTATTATTACGTATTATAAAGACCTGCCAATTTTGGGTTTACTTTAAACTATTTTTACACAAAATTTTATTTTTGATAAGTTATTTTTCGTTTATTAATTTCACCGGTCCTTATTTTCATTTATCTCTTAAATTTTCCTCTTTCAAACAAGTAAATAGCCTTATAACTTGCTGTAGTCCAACATTTAATATTTATTAAAAATCTCCAGTCATAATGGCCTCCTCTGTGCGAGTGAGATACAATATATGAATACCCCGTGTGTATGGTAGAGAGGTATGATATTACCTTCAACGATTTACCCCCAATTCCCCCCCGACTCGGTGTTGGGGCCAGATTATATTTTAATGCAATAATTCTACGTGATCATACAGCGTTTACGAGTGTCGGCATTGCTATACCAGAGATTAAATATATTAAAGTAAGTCGTAAGATTTTATCCAAAAAAATCTTGCACATTTTCAATATTGAATCCATCAAGTTTACGATTTTTTATAATCTTTAGATATATAAAAGAGTTAACTTCGAATTACGCAGGTGTTTTTAAACACGCTAGCTTAAGATTAATACCCCATTTTAATATCTTTGATAACTAAAAAGTACTCTTTATTCCTAGAAAAATAAATAATGTAAAGGTTAAAAATATTTCTTCATTCGCCGATTTTTTAAGAGTTAAGAATTTTTTAAGAAAAATTTATCGTAAGACTTGTTTTATCATATTTCTACCGTTTACAGAAATATCTCCAGCTCGCTCACAGATTAAATTAGTTGAATTCCAGCAGGAGTTTCCAGTTAGGGTACAGTCGGCGAAACAGGTAGCGTTGTTTAAAAAGATAGAATAAAATACAGTTTTACTAAATTGCAATACAAAGCGCGTTTGGTTTTTTTTAATTTTTTTCTCAGGGTCACATGCATCTTTAGATAACTTTTACTAATTTTGCATTTATAGCTCAAAGCTTTCAAGCATGGAATCAGCCCAAGGTTTTGCTTTTTCTCTACATATCCCAAAAAATGTTGTATGAAATGAAACTGAATATATCAAACATGATAGTTTAAAGCAAACTTGAATGGACCTTTGTATTTCGTACCATAGAATTATATTCAATTATTAAAACAATAATCCCGGCTCAAGGGTCTCTCAAGGATGAGCGCCATCTACCGAAGGTTAATGAACTAAATACCTAGGAAAATTATTACTGTGCATATTGGTTAACGAATTTAATAATTGAAGACGGATGTTATATTTTACTAATAAATTATATTAAGTCTAAAGAATTAATTATTAAAATTTCAATGAACATGTTTTGTATCGGTTAGTGTTTCTATTAGATTTTTATTTGTTTTTATTCTTCTTTTAGTCATACATGTGTTTGTAAAGCATTTTATGTTTTAAAACTAGAGAAACAAAATACTCGATGGATTTTACTCTTGCCATCTTGTGAGCAAAAGCATAAACTTTAGCTTTTAAAAGAATTGATTTCATTTTTTCTTTTCGACGCTAGATGTCACTTTTCCAAAAATATATAAAAATACAGAAACAGAAAACAATTACTTATCAGTTCAACATATGCCACATATTTTATTTTCCAGAGAAATGTATGCTAATTTATTTTATTGTTAGTTAATAATTGTTTTTGTTAAAAAAATACAATTTTAAACTTCAAGATAACAATTTTTGACATCTTATCATCACATCTGACACTGACGTGAATGTGACATTACAATGCACAATAGTTTGTTCTTGCTTAGGTTATCAGTTATCACAAAATTTAATTTATAAATATAGTATGATTAAAATAAACTGAGCATGATTCTAATTTTCTAAATTAAATGGACTAGTGTTGATAAGAGTCAATAATGGAGCAGATATACGCGCTTGGCGTTTCCTATATTGAATTCGTTCAGCATTGGTACTTAAATTTTTTACAATATTAACACAAAAGTATTATTTCTTTGCGAAAATGTAAATTCCAATGTATTTTCTATAAATTTGCAATTAATATCTCATTATGTGGTTTCAAAATTGTACCGAAAATAACCATTTTTGGTGCACAAGAAACTATGAAGTTCTTTTTTTTATGATCTTGCTCTCCATAGGTTCTCTGAGTCGGAAGACTTCTTCGAGTTTGTGAATCATCTTTCCAACCCGCACAATGTGGTGGAAGTGCTGTTCCCTCTGGTCTCCATTGTTGACTCTGCTTTTGCTGCTCAGCTATTACTTTGTTTGGCTTTCGGAGGTTGGCTCAATGCTATTATGAAATGGTTTGTATAAAATAATTCATAGTATTCAATTTTTTTTTATCTTATTCCTTACTAATGTTATGATTCCGACCAGATTGATTTACATGCACGGTTAGTAAAATAAATTTTCTTCTTACTATTCTCATAAATGCGAAAGTTTAGATGGATAGATGGATGTTTTTTAGAGTTTGTAGCCTTAACTACTGAATGGCTCTCAATGAAACTTGGCATAGATGTAGAGGATAGTTTGGAAGAACACATAGGTACACTGTTTTAATATCACCCATATGGAGCCGCAGGCGATAGCTAGTAGTATAATATAGTGGGTATGTAATGACTAGCAGCTATTGTGTTATTACAGGTGGTTACTAGAAGACCGTCCCTACTGGTGGGTTCAGGAAACATCATTCTACAATGGCACCCGACGTCCACACCTGCACCAGTTTGGCCAGACCTGTGAGACGGGTCCAGGATGCCCTTCCGGCCACTCGGCTACTGCGGCCATTGTACTACTGCTGGGGATCATGTGGATATCCCATGTTATGAGTGATAGGTATCAAATAAATTGTTATATTTGTTTTCTAAATCAATCTAATCATAACCATCCTTCATCAGATTGCAAGATAGGTTTTGACTTGTTGTTGATGCGATTTAGTTGTGGTTTTTAAGTATTGACCCTTTTTTGTTGGTTCTCTTTAAAAAGAAACAATAAGAGACAATCCATTTTTATCCTTTTTGTGTCATGCCAGGCTTTGTATCATTTCACTCACCCCGAATAAGGACATCAACGGGTCTGAAATTAGTCAGCACCTAAACCAAACTATAATGTAAATTGTGCTGTGATTTATTAATTAAAATATAAGATTTATTTTTAGACCATTTCGTCATAATGTTTTATTGAATATTGTTGATATAATTGTTTGTTTTTTTTTTGTTCAGAAATTGCTATATCTGGTGGTGGAAGTTGGTAGCTTACCCTACGTCTGGGTTCGCGATATTATCAGTGATGTTTGCGCGCATGTACGTCGCCACGCATTTCCCTCACCAGTGCTTCCTCGGGGTAATGATAGGTAACAACCACATTCATCAATAAGTGCTATACTTAGATTGTTAACTTACTCACTAAGAGAGTCTGTATAGAATGATAAATGTACACTAACAAATAAACGCGATATAAAATTAAACTTAGGAATAAACTGAGTATAAGCAAAATTTGTAGTAATATTTGCTTATACTTAGTTAATTTCTAAGTTTATCTTTATACCACATTCTTTTGTAAAGCTGTAAGGGGTTTTCTAAAATTTTATGTAACCTCATTAAACAGTATTTATAGCTGAAAGAAGCATTGATTTGTCTATTATGGTTTTGGTTTAAAAACTTGACATTATATTATGATAAATTAACTTTCAACCTCAACTCTGTCCTTATGAAATTAAAAAACAAACTAAAGTAAGTAACCTATGTGTTCTTCCGGACTATCCTCTACATCTATACCTTTCATTGAGGTCTTTTCAGCAGTTTAGGCTACAAACTCTAAGAAACATCCATCCAAACTTACGCATTTATAATATTAAGAAAGGTTACTTTACAATTCTTTTAATTCGATTGTTACGTTAAATTAACATAGCCTTCATATTATTATTGTTTTTATTATATTTTTTAGGGTCATTTCTAGCTCCGGCTCTATGTATATATGTATCGGATCCTTACATCTGGGAGTATGGTCCTGGAGGTGTGGAGACAGGTCGAGCGCGTGTATGGCATGTTGTATGTGCATTGCTGACCATAGCCATCAGTGTGGTCACTTACTACAGCCTTAAGCTGTGCGGAGTAGACCCACAATGGACGGTGCAGATGGTAAGTTTAGTTTGTATTATCTCTTGCTTGCGATATCCACTAAGTGTAATTAAAAATAAAATAAAAAATATGGCCTATGTTACTGATAACACAGCTTTTGTTTGTGAATGAATTTTTTAAATCGGCTCAGTAGTTTTTATGTTATTTCAAGTCATACAAAAATACTTTAGACATACTAAGACATACAAATCTTTCCTCTTTTTAATATCTGTGTAGATTGTGACTCGCGTGTAAACGGACACTGAAATTCCCCAAAATAGCGAATTCCCATCCCCATCTCCATTCATCACTACATCTCCAAAAATTATTATGACTCCCTTAGTAAGAAAAGAGTGGAAAGGAAAGAGGACTAAAATTAAGTCTATTATGTAATGTTAAGATTAAGTCGTGTGTTGCTTATTGTATTGTAATTTTTTTTAATTCTGTAGACTCAAGTTAGATGATCCAAGATTATATGTATTCTTTTATAGTCATCGAGAAAATTGCATTTTATATCTAGAAATGGTGACAATGTAATATCTAATATTTCGGTAGAAGGAAGAGAAAATTCTTCAAGTGAAGTATTAAATTTGGTTTAAAGTGCAGTTGGCACGTCGGAAACTAGATTATCCTTGAATCCGACGTGCCAACATATCGCACTGGTACGCTAGGCTTTCCGTTGGTGCGAACGGCCCGATGAAATCCACGTGTCGACGACGCCGTTGTTCGCGCTGGTGCAGACCACCGCCAGCCTGCTGGGCTGGGCGCTCTGCGTCACACCCGCCGTCGCACAGTTAGTATACTGACAAATAACCTCATCACC